AGTTCGTACCCCGATTCCGGGAAAGATTTTGAATGCCCAGATATTTGACCCGAAAGTAAGGCCCAAGGCCCATGTTAGACCCCTAATACTAAACTTTGTGCACATTTTTTCTAAGTGATACATGAACATTACTCTGGGAGATTTAAAGAAAACTGGCTAAAAGGAAGGAGTTGTAATGTCTCCAAGAAAATATAGCCGATGATCCCTAAAAGAGCATCAAGGTCGCTCATTTCCATGGGGAAATCTGATCTAAGACTTGTGGTGGGATTAATCACAGGTCACTGTATATTAGGGCTATGACTTCTGAGTGGGGTGGCGACGATACTGATGAGACTGAGACTGTGGACCACTTATTCTGACATTGTCGAACCCTTTTTGGTGTCAGACAGAGGCTTCTAAGCAAATTCTACATAACTTCTCTTCATTTTCCGAAACCGAGTTAGCAGGTATTTTTCAGTTAGCAAGGAAGACTAAAGTGACTAAACACGACACGATAATCTCTCTTGGATTATTCATCACTTTAATTACAAATATCACCAAATTAATGGAACAGCAGGTCTCCGAGTGGAGTGGTTCTTATAGACAACCGCGCATCCTTTAACCTAACTTACTAAACCGATATGGACAATATAGGTATCAAAGATAATGGAAATATCTATCCAACAAGTGATTTTTTAAAACAGTTCGGAAAAGTAGAAAAAGGGACCATTTTGGGGGTCAAAAAAAAATACATGCAAATTATAGTTGAACTACAATGTGTGCTACTGCTACAATGTGTGCTATTATCTTTCATGAATCCCGAGATATGGTTGTTTGAAAACGGACAAGGCAACTCTGTTCAGTACCTTGAACCAAAGTTTTTTTTTTCTAAATTTGATGCTTAAGTTGTACTCTGGATATGTACAACACCGGATAAGCAAACCCAAGTTTTTCTTAATTTCATTTTTCAAGTATCCGTTCTTCGGCCAGGGTTTGGGATTTTCTACTTTTCTCCTGGCTCCCAAAACCAAAGTTTTTTCTAAATTCCTTACTTTTCTTAAATAGGCTTTCCTCGACCGGGCCTTGGGATTTTCTCCTCTAGTTATGCCCAACACCGGCTACGAAACCAAAGTTTTTCTATATCTAATTTTGGGAGGTAGTTTCAAAATATCAGAATATCGGAAGGTTTGATTCAACCTTAAAAATTATGAAAATAAAGCATGATTTATTTTATCAATACAGCTAAAGGAAACTTTATTATTGAAAATTGAAAGCAACACCTAGCTATTTAGGTCATAGGGAATGAATTTATTATTGAAGATAGCCTAGGACTTTTTCATATACATTTGCAAGACTAAATTAGACTTTTAAACAGTAAATTTTCTTTAAACCATGAAATGAATATTATATCCAACAAATAAAAAAATATATTTTTTTTCAAAAACTCATCAAGTTCAAAAAAGGCTAGAAATTACTGAAATTCAAATACCATTTCAATTAAATGAAAAATAGTATTTCAAATTCCTCTAAAGAAATTCACAATTTTGCTAACGAAACTTTTTAATCATTTAACCGATTTTCTTATATCAACTTAGTTCTCCGGGTAATATAAAGGGTTCTGATTTCAAAATAATAGTTTCATACTCAGGACAAGGAGGGATGAAATAAAAAAAAATCAAATTAATCAAAACTATATTCCAATACTACACTTCATTATTATTTTTTTTTTAGAAAAATCACAAATAACCATTGATATCCAGCACAGTAACATATTCAGCATACCCGGCTGAATTATTAGCTATGCACTTGTAGGTTCCACGATGATGTGCCTCCAGAGAATCAATGTTCAGCGAACTGGTCCTTTTGTTCATTTTGAAAATATTAAAACCATTTTCACCCGTTACAATCAACGCGGAATTCAACGTCCAATATATATCCATTGGTAAATCACCCTTGGGCACCACACAAACAACACTAGCCACTTCGCCGCGATTCAAAGGTTCTTCGCCAAAGCCGAAGGGACTTATTTGGGGTGGTACTACAGTTTAAAAAATTATTTTTAGATTTTTTTAAATATAAAAACCAATTTCAATATATATTTTTTTCAAAATTCAATTTAACAGTTATTTTTTAGAAAGTTTGTACAAATTTTATTTCACTAAAGGAAATTCTTTTCAATATGTTTTCTATAAAAAAATATTTTTTTTTTATTTTACATTCGAAAAAACTCAATTCGCCTTATAATTCTTGTCCATATAAGACCCTGATTATCTTACCTTCTTTTAACAAACAACAAAACTTTTTCTAAATTGTAATCCCATGTCGTATAGAAATTAGTTAGAAGCACAGTAGATCCAAATGATGTTATAAAGAGTTTAGAATAGAGTTAGTAACGATTTACAGAAGACACTTTAGAATAATTGCTTATCAAATAAAGTGAAAGAAACAAGCACACACCATTAACCTGCAATTCTGCAGCGTATTCGTCTAGGCCAGCCATATTGACGGCCACACAACGATAAATGCCACGATGTTGATCCTGTAGCGAATCAATGCTCAGGTAACTGGTACGAGCATTCATCTGCATTACCATAAATCCATTTTGGCCCGATTGTATTGGCTCCGAATTTAGGGTCCAATGTATATTGAGAGGCAAATCACCCTTGGGTACATTGCAAACAACACTGGTTAGTTCGCCACGATTTAAAATCGCCTCACCAAAGCTGAAGGGACTGATTTGTGGGGGTACTGTAAAATTTCATTGGAATTTGGTATTAAAAAGGACTACTTTTTCGATTGGAACTCTTTTTTTTCAAAAAAAAATGATTTCAGACACCCAAAATATTTAAAGAGGAGATTTTTTTATGGAAATTTAAATTCACCAGAACAAAACTCAATTTCGTCAAGGGATACAAAGAAAAATCTACACCGTAACAGAAAGAAAATAGACTCAAAAAAGCTGAAGAGTTGCTTCGCTTGGCCGAAAGTGGTGAACCGCCGAATTTGGGTTTCTTCGATGAGAAAACATTCGTTGTCCAACAGTTTGTAAACAACAAAACGATCGTGTTTACTTGCCAAAGAGGTCAGCTGAAAATGTGCACCTTCGGTTGGCCACCTGAACTCAAGCGCCGGCCATGGTGATGGGCCGCCATAACAGCCGATGGATAAATACTAAATATTATCGCGAAATTATTCTGGAGGGTGTATTAAAGCCATGCAAACATTTTGGCGGCAGACATTGGACATTCCAACAGGACTAGGCACTCAGCACGCGCCACCCAAGAATTTTCACAAAATGAGGTTCTTCGCTTCTTTTCCAGCGCACAATGGCCACCAAAATCTCCGGATACCAATCCGTTGGACTATTGTGTGTGGAGTATTTTGGAAAACAAGGTTGGCACTAAAAAATACCAAAGTGTAGATCACCTCAAGCAAGCGCTTCGCCGTGAATTGAAAAAAAAAATGGCGTATGGACATACTCTAGTCTTGACACTCTTAACCTCCTAGCATTTTCCCAACAGTAAAGATATCGGAGCAACTCATTTACACTCAGATCAGAGGGTGATGACTAGCTCCTAGATAGGTTAATTAACATAAACAAATTCAAGTGGGCGATCACTTCCTTCCAACCTATAAATCGCCTGGACCGGATGGTGTTATACCATATATACCTTGTCTATGGTGAGAGGTTACGTCGCACATTCTTTTGGAAACGTTCCTCACACTTAGTTTGCTCATCAGACCAAATCTTCAACGCATTATTTGGAATCTCTTCCAACTCCGAGAATTTTGTAACAATTGCATCGACATCACAGACAATTGGACACTATTCTTTGAGAACGATGATATCTCAGAAATGCCAGTTAGATTTAATCTGCCACTTTCTCGTTTTACCTTAAACCTCTGTACCAGGTCCTCAGTAATCAAATTAGGTTGAGAACCGGAATCCAAAAGAGCTCTAGTCAGAAGTAGACGGCTGCTCTTGATACAGATTTGAATTTGGATTATCAGAAGCGTATCGATGAAGTAAGAAATGGTGTGCACCACTACATACTCTACACTTCACTCCTGAATTGCATTTGGCCACAGTATGACCTTTTCTCAAACAATTAAAACTGGTAAGCCAAGGCACACTACAGAAAGAGACAATAGAATAATTAGCCTTGAAAGGTTCATGGACCTGGATATAAAAACGGAGCTGGACTACTCACTGGTGAGCAACTCAAAGCGTTAGGTGAGGTCATTTGAGGTAGCCATTTATATTGAAGAAATATGGAGACGAAGACCAACACACTGGGGGCATTTTTGACATAGAGGGGAGCCTGCAATAATGTGAACTCAAATCCATACGTAATGCATTATGCAGCATTATGGTCTATGATACGCTAGTAAGTTGTATTGATGGAATGCTTAGCGGCAGAATCATTAAATCCCGCATTTAGCTGAAACCCCCTAATTCCACAATACAATGTTCAAAAAAATATGTTAACATATGTTTTGAATAATATCTTCGCATTCAGCTACGTAGGAGCTAATTCACAAATTTTTTTAGGTATCCAAGAACGAAAAATTAATTAAAATATGAAAACCAAGTCTGTGTTTTTTTTTATTCTGACCTCAAGGCAAAATGGGAACATATTTACCATGGGTCAAAAATAGCTACACGAAAGAATGGTTTAGAATTTTTTTTGCAATTCAGGTTAATATTTTTTGTGAAAAGTGACATTCTAATTTAATATTCTTTCAGAACTTTTACAATTGATTTAAAGAGGCCGAAATTCAGCAAAACATCTCTCTCCAGTAGATGATAAAAAACAAACAACAAAATTCTGCATTCTCAAAAATCCCCACAACCAAATGTTCGTTTGTTAGACCAGAAGTGAAAAATTAATTTTTTGTTAGAAACACCAAGGATTAGTAAACTTTTTTACCGCAGGCATTCTACAGAGAAGACGGAAGTTTTAGTATCGAAAAATTTGTGTTTTTTTTTGTGTGAGCAGGTGTCTGATAGGAAAACCCACCATGTACTTGCAGCTCAGCTGCATGTTCAGCCAAACCAGCCACATTAACGGCTATACAACGATAGATGCCACGATGTTTGGCCTCCAACGATTCAATACTCAAATAACTTGTACGGGCATTCATTTTAATGACCGTAAAACCATCCTGGCCCGATGTTATGGGTTCGGAATTCAATGTCCAGTGGATGGTTAAAGGTAAATCACCCTTCAACACTACACAGGTGGTGCTGAACACATCACCCATGTTATAGACCTCCTCGCCGAAATTAAAGGCCAGGACTTGGGGTGGGACTAAAGGGAAGGAAATTTTCAAATAATAAATAAAATAAATATAAAAACTTAAAATGGAAAAAAATTCTTAGAACTTTAACATTAGAAACTTTTCCCCGCTAACCATTAACATGTAATTCCGCCGAGTACGCAGTATCACCAGCCTTATTGTTGGCAATACACTGATAGACCCCACGATGTTTACTTTCCAAGGCCAAAATATTCAAACTACTTGTCCTTGGATTCATGCGCATCAATGTAAAACCCTCCTCACCACTGACAATGGGCTGGGAATTCAACGTCCAATAAATATTCAAGGGTAAATCCCCCTTACTAACCATGCACTGGGCCCCAAACATGTCACCCACATTCATGGGCTCGTCACCAAAAAAGAAGGGCATTATCTGGGGAGGAACTGAAGAGGTAAACAAAAACTAAATCAAAACAAAGCAAAATTATATTCAACCATTTCTAAAATTTATAAATTTTTTAATAATTGTTTTCCAAAAGTACCATTAACTTTCAATTCGGAAGCATAGAACGTAGATCCAGCCTTGTTTTCGGCAATACACTTGAAAACACCCCGATGAAATTCCGCCACACTGGGTATATTCAAAACACTGGTCTTCGGCGATAGTTTCAAAATCGTAATGCCCTCTTCGTTGTTGATCAGGGGCCGGGAATTCAAGGTCCATTTTATGTTGATGGGTACATCCCCTTTTTGTATCATACACTGGATGCCGGTACTTTCACCGGTATTTATGGGTTCATCGCCAAATGTGAAGGGCATAATTTGTGGTGGCACTTAATTTTAAGAAGTTAAGGTTGATATTTTAAGTGTAGAAGTTTAAAATTGCTTAACTTGGAGAAATGAAAAACACAATTTTCAATAAAAACGTCTCTATTTACGAAACTTATAGCTCGAAGGGCCAAAATGTATAAAAGTTGAAAGGACAAATCATAGAAAAGTACAGAGGATTTTGAATGTTATAAAGACAATAATACTTTTTTAATACTGATATAGGCTCGGGGCCTGGCTTAGGCGGCGCTTTAGGGAAGAGGCAACGAATTCACAACGATTCGCTAACTAGTATGAACGAAGAACAATTAAAAACACCGAGTACCACGATACATCCGGTTTGATCATTTTGAAAATAATATCTGACTAGAAGCATACTTTCACGTGTGGTCCACTTTCATTCGAAAACCAAAATTAAGATATTTATTTTCTAACAACGAATAATAACCTATTTTGAAGGAAGAAAAAAGGGTTCAAAACACGTCTATGTACTCTTGTTCATTTTTGTGAACTTTGCATTAGTTCAGCTCATTTTAATGAATTAGTTCGCCTTCCTTCCGGTTTAATCGTAAATTTCCATTTTTATCGCTCATTAAATTCAATGCTCGATTCTTCCATCGTTCACTGTTGACACATATCACTGTCGACTACTTTGGCTATTTTATTCGTCATTTTGTTCACAATTCGCATTTACTGTAGACGCTCAATTGAATACTCACTTTGTGTTGGTCTCTTCTGCTCACTTTCTTTGTGTTCATTGACTCGTCGATATCGGACAATAAATAATTCGTCTTTTCTTTAATGAACTTCAGACCTAATAACAATTGGCCAAGTTTAGCTGCTCTTTGCAATAAATCTTTCAGTTGAACTGGTTCATTTTGGAACAAAACAGCACCTTTTGAACATAAAATAGTTCAACTTTCCACTAGTTTTTAACTATTTTTTAGCAAAGGAAGTTCGGTCCAGAATATGTCTTGGCCTCTTAGTCCATTTTTATTTTTACCATGGCTTCAGGGTGTCTCAGTGATTGTTTTATTTTTTTCATTCGTTCATTTTATTCAATGTTCATTGGCTTCTATTTTGGTTTCTTTATTCTCTATATTATTCAGACCTTCGCAGATGCCAGTTCATTTTTTTTCTGCTTTTTAGCTCCTTAAAAAAACTTGAATCGAAGGAAGGAAAGCGGTTCAAAATAAGTCTTGGCTTTTTATATCATTTTTATGTTCACGGTGGTTTCAGTATGTCTCAGATGTTCACTTATCTGTTTTAGTTTACTGCAATGTTCAATTATTTGAAAAATTGAATAAAAGTCATTGGCAGCTATTTTGTTTTTTTTTTACTTTTTATTTTACTCAAACCTTCGCAGACTTGTTCTGTAGAGTCGTCGGTATTGATTAATAGATAGTTCGAGTTTTATTATAAAAACCGAACTTCAACTGACCAAATTCACCAGCTCCTTTCAGTGAATCTTTCCACTGAACTTGGTTATTTGGGAGCCATACAACACTGTTCCAAAAAATTTGTATATTTCTATTGGCCTTTTTTAAAACTAAAGGATATAATATGAGTTGAAGTACCAAAAAATATCATCGAAGGAACGAAAAATGGTTCAAAATAAGATCTGATCTCTTAGTTCATTTTTACTTTTCCCGTGGATTCAGTGTGTCTTCGATGTTCCTTCATTTAATAGTTTAGTTCAATGTTCAAGTAAGTTCACGGCTCGTTTTATCTTCTATTGTTCGCCGCTCATTTCTGTGAATCCCTCAATTGAACTAGGTCATTTGTGAACTATACTTCACTATTCAAAAAAAAAAAAACATATAATCGAAATTGTTCATATTTAAATGTCCACCAATTTTAATGTATTATTGGAAGTTCCAAAAAAATATAATCGACGAAAGAAATAAGGTTCAATAAAAGGATTGGCCTTCTAGTTCATTTTCATGAACTCTTCGTGGTTTCAGTATGGCTCAGTGGTCTAGCTATCAGTTGATCCTTCATTCGTTCATCAAGTTCAATACTCGATTTAGGTCATGTTTCGTATGATCTTCCATCTGTTGACGTTCGCTCTTTATGTTCGTTCTCTTGTTTCGTAGACTCGCCGGTATTAACCAATTGATAGTTCGGATTTTCTTCGATGATCTATGAAAAACTAATTTTAACCGAGCAAATTCAACAGCTCCTTTCAGGCAATCGTTCTATTAAATTAGATCCTTTGTGAACCAAGCAAATCTTCCAACGAAGAAAATAATCTCAATTTTGTATATTTATATATTTTGGCTCCTTTTGAACGTAAAGTAGTTCAAATATCCATCGGTTTTGAGCTATTTTATGTATTTGCCGAAGTTCCAAAGATATAATCAAAGAAAATACTGTTCAACATAAGGCTTGATCCACTAGTTCATTTTCATGATCACTTCTTTAGTTCAGATCTTTACGATGAGCTAGTTCGTCATTCTAGTTCAGTAGTTGTGGTTTTAATATGCGTCGGAGGGTAATCTTTAAGTTGCTCCATTCGTTCATGAAGTTCAATACTGGATTTAGTTCATGTTTCGTATGTTCTCTTGGTTCATTGACTCTTTCGTATTGGTTAATGAAGTAAAGAAACCGATTTTAAAAACCGAAGTGCAGAAGTTCTTGTCGGAGAATATTTGAATTGAACTAGGTCATTTATGAACTAGGCAACACTATTCCAAAAGGAAAACCTCAATTTTTCACATTTCAAAGTCAGGTCCTTTGAAACGTAATGTAGATCAACTTTCCACTAGCCTTTACCAATTTTTAAGAGAAATGTATATGACGAAGGACCAAAAATATATAAACTAAATCAATTCATGAAACATTTGAATATTTCGATACAATTCAAACTACTGGAAAATGTAACTGAAAACCGGGAAATCATCGACCTTAACAAAGTTTTAAAATAGAAAAAATTTAATCCAATGCCAATTGCCAACTAAGGTGTAAAGACCAAAAAATATATGTGTTAACTTTAATAAAGTAAAGAAAAACTTCCTGACTATAATTTTATCTCAGAAATTTACATAAGCCACTCAAATCTAACTCGAAGGACCCAAACAGAAACGCAACTGTAGACACCTAAAATCACAAGAATGTTGTACTAATTTATAAGTGAGATTTAGCAAACCCTGACTCTATTTGAAGGGCCAAAAATACTTTTCAATTAAAATGATCCCAATTTAAATATGCTATAATTATTTGGGCCAAATCGAAGGACCAAATTGATATGCCATATTTAATTCAAAATATAACACAACTTTTCCATAATTTTACCTCGCAGATATTTTGGGAGTGGGAGTTAACGAAAACTAAAGAAAAAACAATTCAAAAAACCTTGAAAACAATAATTAATTTCATTAACCATTCACAGCCAATATGGCCCACTGTGTGGTGACTCCGGCATTATTTGTGGCCACACAGGTATAATTTCCAGCATGTCTTGCTCTCACCGATTCAATACTCAAGACGCTGATGCGTTGACTTGTGCGTGTTACAACCACACCATCATTGCTAAATACCCGGCCACCATTGCGGGTCCAATAAATATCCATGGGCAGATCACCCTTGTTGACCGTGCAATAAGCCGAAACCATGTCCATTTCATTGATACTCTCCTCACCGAAATTGAAGGGCATGATTTGGGGTAAAACTTCACAGAGGAGGGAAGAAAATAAAAACATTCTTAAATTTTAAGGAAACGAACATCTAACAAAGTAAACATAAGACATCTTCTAAAAGAAATTTTTTATCATTGCCAACCATTAACTCTTAACATGGCCGAGGCCATGGTAACTCCGCCACTATTGGTGGCCACACAGGTATAGTTGCCTGCATGGCGGGCCCTCACCGACTCAATGCTGAGCACACTTAGACGTTGATTATTGCGCATCACCACCAGGCCGTCATTGGTATAGATGCGTCCTCCATTGCGGGTCCAATAGATATCCAAAGGCAAATCACCTTTATTCACGGTACACGAGGTGGACACCATGTCCAGTTCATTGACACTCTCCTCACCAAAATCAAAGGGAACAATTTGCGGTAAGACTTTGTGGGAAGGTTGAAAGAAAAATAAACCAAAAAAAAAAAAACTTAAAATCAAATCTACAAAAATTCCAGTAACAATACGGGCGAAAATTTCAAAAACTTAACCATTCACTCTTAAAAAGGCCCAATGTTTGGTAACCCCGGCATTATTGGTCGCCACACAGCTATAGTTTCCGGCATGACGAGCCCTTACCGATTCAATGCTTAAAACGCTCATTCGCTGACTGGTTTTGGTCACCACCAAACCGTCATTGGTATAAATGCGACCACCATTGCGCGTCCAATGGATATCCAAGGGCAGATCACCTTTATTTACGGTACACGAAGCCGATACCATGTCCAGTTCATTGACACTTTCCTCGCCAAAATCAAAGGGTACAATTTGGGGCAAAACTATGCCAATCAAAACAAGGGAGGGGAAAAACAATTAAAAACAACCAAAACTCTTTTCAAGAATATCATAACTCTACAACAAAAAATTGGAAAATTATTTTTCTTCTTCACCATTAACTCTCAGTTCCGCTGTGTGATAGGCCACCCCGGCCGCATTGCGTGCCACACAGGTATAATTTGCCCGATGTCTGGCATGTACCGACTCGATGCTCAACATACTGATACGTTGCGTTGTTTTTGTTATCAAAATACCATCGTTGGTCATGAGACGACCCACACCCAAACTGGGATCGGGTGCTGTGGTCCAATACAAATCCATGGGTGTATCACCCTTGTTGACGGTACACGTTGCCGAGACCATATCATTCATATTGATAATGTCGGAACCGAAATCAAATGGCACTATTTGTGGTGGTACTACGAGGAGCGAAGAGCAATATTTTAATATTTAAGTATCAAAGCTTTTTTAGTTCTGAAAAGCTTGAACTAAAAATGTAAACATAAGCTTTGAAAAGCCACATATTTCTTAAATAAAGCTTTTAATATAATCGTATCAACTCTTTAATTACAAAATTAAAAATATTCAAAAAGTTCAAAATCGATAAAATAGTTCTTTAGAAACAATCCAATCAGATTTTAAAAACAAAATAGTAGAAAAATATATTTAATTCAATTCAGATTCAGTTCAACCTTGAACGGAATTTTTAAATTTGAAGATTGATTATGGGTTTAAAAATAACATTCTGTAGTTGTAAATAGAAATATTCTCAAGAAAAAAGACAATTTTTACCCAAGGAATGTACCAATGCTGCCCTAGGAGTTACGTACCGATTCTGGATCAGAGTAGAGGTAAAGCCAATAAAATGTGATCCACACTTACAATAGAAAATTATAATTGCCGCTATTGCCAGTGGCGCCCAATGTTTCGTATTTGCATTTTTTCACATATTGCGCTTATCAAGAAATTAAGTTCAGACCAATTTCTGTTCGAAATTTCTTTGTTATAATTTTAAGTAAATCATTTAGCCTGCAATAATGCAAATGTACGAAACTCTCAATATTGGCCCCAAAGAAAAGGAGAGAAGGACCGTTAAGGTATTGGGCATTACAGTTTACGAAAAAAACCAAATTTCATTGTTCCTTTAAAAAAATATTTTATCGTCATTGGAGAAAAATAATCTGCTGAAATTCAGATTCATGAAACTGGCGCCCAACGTTGGTATGTGTACCTTTTCCCCACACTTGGCACATTTTAGTTGATTAAAAAAATTATTTTTTAGTGTTCGAATCAGTTTTAAAGAAATGTTGAGGCCAATGGAGATATATTACCTTTGGAAATTAAAGTGACTCCCAACGTTTGGCTATGCACATTTCACCAACCTTGTCAGTGAGTAGTTCCATCGTTTGCCATTTTAGGTTATAGCATTGTTGACATTCTGTTGGTTGTTATTAATACTTATTTACTTTGGTTCCTATAGTTCACTTTTCTTTGAGTTATTCTTTGTTGGTATTGGTTAGTATATACTTCGTATGTTCTTTGAAGAACGTTGTAGAACCCTCCAAACTAACCTAGTTCCGCCGTTCACTTTAGTGAACGGTTCAATATAATTGCAGATTGTCAGCTACATAACACATCTGCTCACAAAATGTCGAATGTGAAAAGATAAAATATGGATGTAAAGTAATGTTGAAATTCACGTAAGAATTGGCGCCCAACATGAAAGACATCGTATGAATGGGATCTGATGAATTGAACTGACGCCCAACTGTCTTAACATGTGTTTATATTAGGAACTTTCAAAGCACGGATATAATATACTATTTGTCTCGAAGGACCAAAAAGTAGAAGAGCTATATGGAGCTAAAATAAAGCTCACTGAAAAAAATTTACAAAATGGCGCCCAAGAGTTGTCGAAACAAGAAATATAATTTAATTTAAATAAAAAAGTAATAAACTTAAAAATGGCGCCCAACATTAAGTGTAAGATTGAATATTGTACGAAGAAAATGATTTGACTTGGAATTTTTTAATCCATGTTACAAATTTATTTGCTAATCATTTCTATCCTTTCAGAACTGTTATCCAAAAGTTGTGAATCGATTTTAAACCAACGTGAACGTAGTTGTGTAAATATAAACGGGAGATAACAATAAAGCAATAAATTGTAAGATATACTTGAAATGGCGCCAGTATAAAAATAAATATTTATATATTTTAAATGGCGCCCAACGTCAATCAAACTGGAAATGAAGTCAGTGGTTTGGATCTATTTGTTACCACTATTGACATGTGAAAAGTAGCCCTTAATCAATATTTAAATTGCTTCCTAATTTATCGAAAAAAAAACTATGCATAAGCCAAAAAGTGGCGCCCAACGTAAACTCAAATTAATATCAAAACGTTTAATAACGTTTTTGATATATTCTTGGTCAACGTTGCAGATGCAGATAAAACTCGAACTTCCTGAATATTTAAAGTACCTTACAATTTAAACTTCGCATAAACAATAGGCCCATATGTTGTCGAAATTGGCGCCCAACGTTGAATCTCTTCGAGCTTTGTATTGAAATATTTTCTTATATTTTTTCCTGACAGCATTGGTAACATTCTTTGGAGTTGTAAAATAAACTCTTATCAATTTAGTTTGCCCTTCTTATTTTCGAATGGAACTTTACAAGATCATTTATACACTTTATAAATAAAAACGATTTAGATAGATTCTCCAATTTTAAGAGATCTTCAAACTTTACGTATAACGTTTTGTCACAAAATGTTAATAAGGTAATATATATAATAAAAAAGATTCCCCATTTTCATACAAATATTCGTGATTATAAAAACAACTTTTTCACATCGCAACTACCTAAGAGAGAAACATATACGCAGAATTTAGAGGAGAACAATAAACCAACGATGATGTTTTTTTCGGCGGAGACGATTGTTTTTTTACACATATTTACCCTAACCGATTTCTGGGGTCTTGAAATAATGACATTAAGGTTAAATAATCTTGGATTACGGAAAAATAATTTTGGAGAATTTTATTTCAGTTTTGAGATATAGGAACAATTTTATAAAAGATGACAATTTTGCTAGAATTAAGTTTAAATTCTGAACAAAATCACGTTTATCCGTTTTAATCTATATACTGAAATATAATTCCCAAAATTCATCTTTTTATAGTATTCGGACTGACTTCAGGACCCATCAATCTTCCATGTCATTATTTTCAAGATACACCAGAATAATTTTCATTTTTTTTTTTTTTTCAAAATTTGTTTGTTGTCAACATTTGTCTGTTTACGCAATGTGACCTGGTAATTGAAACATTGAAAAACTTACCCATAACTTGAACTTCGAGGGAACCACGAGCGGAATAGCCTTCAGCATTCTTGGCAACACATGTGTAGGTGGCCTGATCCGAGTTGCGTTCAACATTTTCAATGATGAGTGTGCCATTGGGGAATACCTTTTGTTTGCGGTTAATTGGCAGGGCACGGTTGTCTGGATGGAAATAGGGGGATAAACATTTTTTAAGAATTAAATAAATGTGTTTATATTTGGGATATGTCAGGGATATGAAACTCTACTTTCGATTAGCCGACTTTCGATATGAAAATAAGAATTCGACTTTTCTCATCCGTTTTGTAAACATATGTTTTATATGTGCGCCAGAAAGTATGCAACGACCATAAACTAAATATGTAAACAGACTAAATAATGTGTAGACAGAGGAATGTATTATTTTATCTTTCCACCAGAGAGCGCCAAAATATTTTTACGCATATAAGCCACCATCAGCCTCCTCGACTTTAAAAAAAAATATTCATTTGTCTATTTTCATACAAATCGGCAAATTTCCAAGAAAACAAAAACAAATTTCCAAAACTATTCTAATAAAATAAAAATAAATAATTTCAAAGCCGAGTAGTAGCAAAACTATTGTCGCACCCTCTGGTGGAAAAATAATATAACACTTCCTGTCTCGGACCCTGTCTCTGTCTGTACATTATTTAATCTGTTTCTACTCGTTGAAGACTAGTTTACACATCCTGTTAGATTGATACGTAAAGTGACTTCTTCACATTTCGGGTTTTATAGCATACTTTGTGGCGTTCCTCAAAATTTTTAAACTAAAAATAAATTATTGGGAAACAATCAATGTCCTATTTTAACATTTCAACGAGTTCTTAAAAATATTCAAAAAAAAAAAAAAAATCCCACTTACCTCTCTCCCATACAATCGAATCAATTGGATAACCAGCAACGGGACATGTCACAACCAAAGTATCACCAGCAACGATGGCCTTCTTTTCCATTTGACGAATATAGGGCAAACCATAGACATTCAATTTCGCAGAATGTTCAGCAATACCAACTTTGCTCTTGGCCATGCACTTGTACAAACCACCATCGTTCGATTGCACCGAGGTAATGTTCAAATACGACACAACATCTCCGTTCACGGTCACATACTGCCCAACTTGGTAACGATCGTTGTTTGCAATCTTTTTGCCATCTAATTCCCAGGAGATTTCAGGGGTTGGATTACCGCCGGCAACACACTTTAGGAATACACTTGGTCCGGGTTCCATGGTTTCTTCTTGGAAAGCTTGACGTATAACAGGGGGATCGAAACGGCCACCCAATTTTAATTCAGCACTAGCCTCGGCAGATTCCTGGTCATTGCGTACAAAACACTGATACATGCCCTTGTCTTCCTTCTTTACAGATTCAATGCGTAAAACGGGATCTGAATGGCCAATAGCTTTGCCGTCCTTCAACCAGCTAATGGTTTTGATGGGATTGCCGCTGTATTGACAGGTGAAAACGGCTGGGCGTCCAAAATCAACAGTTTGGGTGGGTGGATCAATTTTCGCCGACAATGGAGCGGTAACGGTGAGAACAGTTTCCACAGATTCGCCACCCACAGAGTTGTTGACAACACACAAATATTTGCCCGAATCATCGACAACAGCATCCTTAATGATCAAAGTACCCGAAACCTGTTTGACGCGATCATTCAATACAACAGCCTGTTTGCGGGTGGTGCCTTCAATGAATTTATACCATCTGAAAGGGGGGGGGAAGAATTATTAATTTTCAATTGTCTTGCACTAAGTTGGTGAAAAATACAAAAATGATCTTGAAAAATGTCTGATATGAAATGCCAGCGTGTAGGTTTTTATTTTTGGTTCAAAAGCACATTGAAATGTAATGTTGTGAATTGGAAAAGCTTGGAATTTGGGAATTCAAGCAGGAGACACATTTAAAATTAAATTAAATTCAAATTAAACACCAAGCAGCTGTGCTCAACTTACCTTGAAAGCTTAAGAGCTTTAAGACCTGGTTCATAGTAACGAGTGGAGATTTGTTGTTTTATCTTACGGCCAATCTATGTAAGTCGGAAAAATGCAATAGAAAAACGCTAATCTTGTTTGTCCTTTTCAAATTTATATTATTATTTATTTATTTTTTTATTTTATTTATTATTACTATTATTATTTTTTATTTATTTATTTTTTGATAGAATACAATTGGAAAATACATTTTTTCGACATACATAAACAGGCACCTAATTTCCATTCGACTTAATGAACCAATCCCTTACTTACCTGTGCTTTTGTCTGCTAGGCTGCATTTAATTTCTAAAGCATTTCATATCATTATTAACAGATTTTAAGACCATTTTTATTTAAACGCAAAAGTTTAGGGGTCCTAAAACACTCCTAGCAGGGACAACCTAACCGAAGAGAGGATCAAAACAAGCCGAGCCCGGAATTAAAAGAATCAAATCTCTAAAGCTCGTTGGATTATTTGGAACGCAAAAAAACTGACAAGATATAAAAAGGAAATTATTTTCATGATTTAGAAGATTCAAGATGCGAATAAGAACAATATTTCCCATATTTATACTAAAGTACTAATCAGGAGCTTTAAAGCGTTTGAGTACTGCAAATCGTCTAAAAGTAAAAAAGTTTTAGTGTCGTACTGCCAAGTCTTAAAATAAACTCTTCTATTTAAATAAAAAAGCTTTCTGCGTCAATCAATTAGAGCATTTAGAAGATGTCATAATGGAGAGAGGTCAACCAGAGCTTGATTTCAAAGTCTATTGTATTTTACACTTAATTAAAAAGCTTTCAAAAGATTGCCAATGTTTAGCCTCTAGCACTAGGAAATGCATTGGCTACATAAAAATAGCAAACAATTATCATTACAAAAATTTTTCCATTGCATATGATATCTGACGATTCAAAAGTTTCATATAACTTGTCGATATATTGACAAAGCTCTGAAAGAAAAACAAATGTTAAAAACTATATTTTTAAACAACAATAGCTTAAGGCTACTTCAAAGCTTTGAAAAGTTAACTAAAGCTTTAAAGTAACATACATCCAAAATATATTTATATAAAAAGCTTTAAATAGATTGTGAATAGCTTGAAATAACAAGAAAATATCCTAACATATTTGTTCTTATATCGAATGATATTTAACGAGCTTTCATATTCCGAATGATATTTAAGGAATTGAAAGCTTTCAAACTTGTTGACAACGAAGAAGATACGTGTGATTGACTTGAAACTTTTCAGAAAGCTTTGAATTTCTTACTTTAAAACTTTACTTAAGCTTTAAATATATATTTACCCTTATTATTATGGTTTTATTGTTTTTACAAGTTTTTAGGCTATTTAAATATATAAAAGAAAAGTTGACTACGAAAGCTTTACTATTTGCAACGCTTTTTGAAAATCCAAAAGCTTTGAAATTTGTTGATATATTAAAATATTATCGTTAAAAACTATGTGAGAATCGTTTTAACAAAAAATTTAAAAATTTAATTTGAATAATTGTCTAGACGGAAATATCGAAGCCTTCATCATATTGGATTTAATCCAAAATCTAATAAAGCTTTTAAAAGCTGGTAGGATATTACGACTGATTTTCACACGAATAATAAAGCTCTAAAGCTCTATTAAAATATTTTCTAATTTGATCGTTAAAAGTAAATCCACTTTTAGTTATTCTCTACCTTTAATTTTCGAGGTATACAACCCCGAATTTTATTAATTTTTCTTTAGAAGCAATATATACTTTGAGATTCGAAATTAAAGAAAATATGATTTTTAAATTGGTGCTAGAAGCTTTATGCATTCTTACCATTCTTATATTATTAAATATTAAAAGCTCTATTAAAATGTCGTTGGTGGAATGCGGAAATCCATTCAAACCTCGATAAAATGCTGCCCTTAAACTAAGACTGATATTGAGATTACATCGCGTCCAAATAGCTTTTACATGTTAAAGCTTTCAGTGAAATTTATTTTTATCTATATAAAAGTTTATCCTAGTTCTAATTGCTGGCATTCATGTACGACTCAATCTTATCTTAATATGTTTTTGGATGTTTTAAAAGCTTTTAAGCTCGTTGGCAAGTAGCTTAATAGTCTTCAAAAGCTACATTAAGTTTTAAGTATGATCGTGGATTGATTATTTATCAAATGGTAATCATTCGATAAGAAAAGTTCCAAAGAACAAAAACAACTATTTTAAAGCTAATTAAAACCCTAAAATTAAGTAATATTCTGTCAAATATGGGTTGTAATACCTATACACCGGCACAGGATATGCTTGCCCGGGACAGTGACCCACAAAAGTTTCACCCAAGTGGACATCATTTATTTCAATACTTTTCGAAGCAACTCGGGGTTTAACATGACCCACAGGTTCTATAGCAAAAAATTATTTATTTCACCAAAAACATAAAGAAATACGAAAAGAAGCTTTAGTTGCTATTCAAAACTGCCCAAACGATTTTTTTTTTTTTTCTATTCAAAAAAAGTTGTTTTTCAATACCTAAAAGCTGGCATTGGATAGGCTTGAGCTTGACATAAAATGGCAAAACTATCTCCGGAATTCATGGTATGTTCTTGCAAACGATCACCGGATACACGGGGACCAACACTGCCAATGGGTTCTGGAAATAATTTTATAACATATTTCAAATAGATCCTTAAGCTATTGAAAATGAACTGCTAGAAATTTAAACCATATTAATAATTTTTCCTTTAATGCAAAAAAATTGAAACTGCCTGAATGTCTTTTTCATATAATTTGAATTTTATTGAGTACCTAAAAACCGGAGTTGGATAAGCCTGACCCATACAAACTATGGCCATGCTATCTCCAGAATTTCTAGTCATTTCCTGTAGACGACCACCGGTTATTTTGGGACCTACACTGCCCATGGGTTCTAAAAGAAAAAAATCCATTATGCGTATGAAATATGACAGGTTTGGGATTTTGTAACAAGCTTTCGTTCGTCATTGAAAAAATGCTATAATGAAAGCATTTATTGAAAACTGCCTGAATTTTTCTTTTAATTTGTGTGCAACTATTTTGAAACCAACCTTATAATTGGCACTGGAAATGCTTGAGCCTGACAGAGTAACGCGAAACTATGACCAATCTCTTTGACAAATGTAAAACTTTTCGATTCCCCCGAGAAGGTGGGAGCTTTGGCACCGACAGGTTCTAAAATAAAATTAAAAATTAATTTTTTTGTTTTTAAATTAAAACGGCCTGAAAGATAGAGCTTTCGTTCAAGTTTTGAAAAAGGTTTGAGGATTTTATATTCGAGCTAAACTTTTTGATTTTGTAAATGTATAAAAAGCTTTGGCTAAATTCTATTTCGAATTAAATTTAAAATCCTTTTTTGACATATTATTTTAATGGAATTTTACCTTATAATTGGTACCGGATATGCTTGAGCTTGACACAATAAGGCAAAGCTTTGACCATGATGGCGTATAATAGTAAAGCTAGCCAAATCGGTTGAAAATGTGGGTGCTTTGGAGCCAACGGGTTCTGGAATATCAAATGTGCGGGACTTAAAAATTACAAATTCATGAAAATAAATTCCTCTTTCAAGAACCAGTTGGAAGTGTAGCTAAAAAATACAAGCTTTAGAGCTTTTGTCCGAAAAGTCCTTCAAAAAATTAGTTAGTTTCAAATTTTAAATATAAGACAACAAAAGAACCTTAAATAACCAGTTGGAAGTGTAGCCCCAAAACAACAAGCCATAAAGCTTTTACTTCAATATCTTCAAAAAATAAGCACCACAAACTCATATATTGGAAATACAAACTCTCTTTTAACAGCTAGGACAGGGACAGGCACATGGAGGCACTCGAGCCTTAAATGAGAGCAATTTTCTCTCAATTCTCTCTCTCACTCACAATCAGACCAATTGAAAAACAACACAAGCAGAGAGTAACAAAACTGGGAGAACACAAAAGTGCCACTCACTGCCCGACACGGAATCAGGAACTGGTTTGAGGTCCATATTAAAATAACTTACAAGTTTTTCCTTCACAAAATAGAGCTTTAATTTTTAAATGAACTTTTACCTTATAATTGGTACTGGATATGCCTGAGCTTGACACAATAAGGCAAAACTTTGACCGTAATGTCTAATTATAGTTGAACTGGCCACATCCGATGAAAATGTGGGAGCTTTTGAGCCCATAGGTTCTAGAAGTCAAAATAAAATATATCAAATAACATATTTTTAGGAAAACAGAGAACCCATTGAGAGTGTTGCAATCCCAAATTTTTAGCGAGCTTCCAAACAAAATATTGAGCCAGATAAGTTTTTTTATTGGCTAAGAGCTTTACCTTATAATGGGCGCTGAATAGGCCTGAGCCTGACACAACAAGGTACGACTTGAGGCATATTTGCGGGTAATGGTAAAACCCGAGATATCACTGAACAAGGTTGGAGCTTTTTGCTTCGAAGGGTCCTAGAAACTTTTTTTATTGACTTAGAGATTTACCTTATAATGGGCACTGGATACGCCTGAGCTTGACACAACAGGGCAAAACTTGAGGCATATTGGCGAGTAATGGTAAAACTCGAAACATCACTGGGCAAGGTTGGAGCTTTTGCTCCCAGGGGTTCTAGAAAATAATAAAAAACAATTTTCGTAAACTTAAAATGGAGTTTTAAGCTTTTTGTGAACCAGTTGCTAGTGTAACGGCCTAGTTTCCCTTAAAAGAAATTGTGACAGATTC